TGATATGTTTGTTTCAGTCATTTATTGAGACAAGCTGAGCTGGTGCAAGATGATCGTTCAGTATTGACAGCTTAAGCAGAGGAGAAGAGGGTGCGAATGCACTTCCAAGGTGACCCGTGCTGAAGCAGGCCTATCCTTTGATTTGCCTCAGGAAAAAAGAATCCAATCATTTCCTTGAAGTTGAAATAGTAGAGGGAGTCAGTCATCAGAGAAACAGCTAATGGAGAACTGCTCAAATTAGATGGCTAGTGCCCTTTCTGCCTAGGCAATGTAAGAGCGATCCTTGGATAAGGGCTGAAATATGTAACCAGAAAGCAATTTCAAGAGACATAGAAAAATACAGGCTGCAGAAATGTAGTCATTTGCAATGAGAAGCCAAACAACAGAGGAAAGCACTGAATCCAGGATGAACTGGCCTTCGAGCAGCCTACCTCCCAGCCCAGAGGGCGTATGGCAGTGCATGCACATTCATCCCTGGGGTGAACCTGCATCACCTCTGCAGCTGAGCACAAATCAGGGCTGCTTTGATTTCCATGGTGGTCCCCCTTCCCCGGGGGGGGGGGGGGGGTCCAGTACAGCACAGGCATCTCCCCATCGTAATGGGCTCGTGCTGGTGCAGTTGGAAGGGGAACAATAAACCCAGCAGAGACCAGCCCATTATGTGAGTGCTTGGCATAGAGAGCCTGGGGGAAATAAGTCTATGGACTGGAAACAGGGAGGGCATTGGGAAAACCTGGGGGTTACTTGTCTCCACATGGAAAATATTTACAGGGGACCTGTGGTGGGGAAATAGCTGCATCACAGGATCTAGAAGGAGCCCAGCGCTAGCTGGGCTGGAGAATGCGTTTTCATGCCATCCTACACTGTGAAGCCCCCAATATCAGTCACTGCCCCAGCCACAGATTACTGGCACTGACTTATTTCACAGAGGAAAGGAAAGGAATAAGGAAGAGCAGCTGAATTTAGATACCTTGTTATCAGAATAGATTTGCTAGCAATTAAAAGTGAGGGAAAAGAAAGAAAAGCAATAGGATACACAGCTATCAGAAGCTTCTAAGGAAGCAGGCTGGTGTTATCATTATTGGAATGGCAGATCCCTTAGCGTAATCTAATTCTGGATCATTATGCCGTTGTTTTTCTTCTGGGTTTATGTACATCTCAAAGCATGTTTATCTGCACAAAGCAAGTAACAAGCAGTTCTGGGAAAGTGGCTGGAAAAAAACCATCAGATGGTTGAGAATAAAGCAGCCAGTAAAACAGTAGATAACTGCAAAAATCTCCTGAATAAAACAAATATGCAATTGTCCAGAACGCACAATTTTAAAGCCCAGCTGCTGGCCAAGACAAAGTCTCTCTCAAATACCTGAGGCTGAGCCTTAGGGCTATGGCAGTACGCACACTTTAGAGTTGCCAACGATCCTCTCTCCTAAAGACTGCTGCTTTATCAAGCATTTTCGTTTACCTGGGCATATTCTTAACAGCATCCACAGCAAGCAGTTCACAGAATCACAGAATCACAGAATCGTTTAGGTTGGAAGGGACCTCTGGAGATCATCTAGTCCAACCTCCCTGCTCAAGCAGGGTCACCTAGAGCATATTGCCCAGGATCACATCCAGACGGCTTTTGAATATCTCCAGCGAAGGAGACTCCACCACCTCTCTGGGCAACCTGGTCCAATGCTCTGTCACCCTCACAGTGAAGAAGTTTTTTCTCAGGTTCAGAGAAACCTGGTAGGTGCCTCGGGAAGCACCTACGATGGGGAGGTGCTGTCTGTCCTGATTTGGCTCCCCCCATTCACTGAGCCAGCCAGATGTGAGCCAGCTTTGATCCAGAAGCCGTGTGAGGGATCCCAGAGATGGTAAGCCCTGCTCAGAAGTGGAATTTCTCAGCTTGGGCTCTGTGCCGTGCTAATGTAAGCGTGTGGTTTGGGAACTGGAATTGGCTTCTATGCAGCTGATGCAAAGAGGACACGCCATGGCATCTGTCTTTGCAGATGTGGCCTTAGCTTGCAGAAAGCCCAAAACGGTCCGTGAGCTCTGTGGCGTGCCTCCCAGGTCCTTCTCGGCAGAGCTACTTTCCAACAGGTCAGTCCCCAGCCTGTACTGGTGCATGGAATTCCATTCCATTCCAAAAGTTCCTCCATACAGAACCAGGAGCCCACAGATGCAGCCATGAATCCGGGACTGCGTGAGGACCAAGAGCCAGCATTAATGCATCAGCCGAGAAAATCAGGGTGTTGGTCTTCAGTATATTACGTATATTACCCTCGCACAATGAGGGCCTCTGTGCAGAGATAGAGGAGCACAAACTACTGACTGGTGGGAAGAGCTTTGTAAAAAAAGTCCTTCAAACCACAGAAAGAAGCAATCTGTTAAAAGAAGCAGAGTGGATGGCTGTAGCCATATGGTACAAAGTCCAGCCTACGTCAGCTGGACAATAGAGCCCTGAGTGAAGAAAAGAGCTGCCCTGGGAGACCTCACCAGCAAGCGATGGCCATTGCTGGGCTGACTGCTGAAAACCACCTCCTTTTATATCTGCCCCAAAGGGATTTCCCATCCTATTATCCAGTACCTAAGAGTCTGCCTGTGAGCTACCAGGTCAAGCGCCATCTGAACATGAGAAAAGCCATCCATGGATCAAAGGTGGTAGTTTTCTTGGTTCCAGATTAACCCAATGGAAAGATTTACCATTAAAGGACACTGCCTCCAGTCTGAGGGGAGCTGGCTCCAGATTCAAGTGGGAATGATCGTTTTCTGGTGGCAAAAGAAACCAGCCACTAAGAGGAATACGTAGGAGGCGTCCTCTAACCAATTTCTGTCTGCTAAGCACTCATGACGAGCTCACCATATTGCAACATGTCTTGACTGCAGATAATCCCCAACAACTGGGATTGTTGAATTGACTGAAGACCCAAGAGCACAGATGCGGTGTCTGAACTGGAGCGCACTCAATTCATGCGAGTGCCATAGGTTTGCACACCGAACTGAGCAGGAGAGATGTGGCATGGGCTGAGCAAGGCTCAGCTGGAGCAATGCACTGGTAATACTTCTGTCCTGCTTTGGAGGCCAACATCCTTCTGAAGGTAGGGCTGGAAAAAAAACTGTTTAGCTAGATGGAAAAAAAACTGTTTAGCTAGATGGAAAAAAATCCATTTGGGAAACAAACGATCGCTGAGGAGTTGAACAGATGGGGGAGGAGACAGCTAAAAGCTGGTTTCTGGTGCATCATCCCTGGAAGAGTCTGAGAAGAAAAACACTTCTGCTTATGCCCTTTGACAATACAAAGGGATGCCTGGTACCTTGCTTAGCTCATGAGTGCCACAAAAAGGTTATTTGCTTTTTCGCCTGCTCTATTCATGTTTCCCTAGGCTAGACCTTGGTTTTACTTTGGAAATTGAGTCACATTGTTGCTGAGAAGGAAATTTCCAACCTCTTTCATGAGCCATGTGGCCTTGTATCAACATGGACATGGACTGGGCAGATGCTGCACCATAATGTGTGGGTTAAATAGTAGGCTTTCCTTTGCCCACCTGGTCCCACGTAGCATAGGATCAGGAGGCACTGCACAAGCAGTTCAACCAGCACAACGGAGGTGGCAGCAATCAGATTTTTGGCAGCCAACTCTTCACTCTGCAGCAGATTATGTCTTGCATCTGCCCTCAGCCAGTTGTGCACTAGACTGCTAGGCAGCACTCCTGTGAACTCAAATATACCTCATTGGTAAGCGCTAAGGGAAGCACGCAATCACTTCTGGAAACCTGGACTCGTGCTCTTGTTAGCTGCTGCTGTGCATCCTCCTGCAAGCCACGGTCTGCACCAGGCTTTTCTTAGGAGGCGTGTTAGACAAGCCTCACCAGCACCTGCAAATCCCACATGCTCTCAAACCCAGAAAAGACGGCCGGGAGATGGGACTGCTGACAAGTCCAGGATCTTCCAGACCTCCAGGAATTAGCATTTTCAAACCTCATTCACAAGCACAGATTCTTTAAGTGAAAAACATTCAAGGGAGTTAAGGCAGCTGGAACCATCTCTCATCTCCTCACAACCATGAGCTGGGGCTTTCAGGGGAACACTGTAGAACGCCCATGCAGGTGTGGACAGATGGATGGGTGCTAAGCAAGGCCTAACCACATCCCTCTGCATGATACATCTTCCTTCTCATGTACAACAAGCAGCAGTCCTGGCTCAGCAAGCCGGACGCGTATCCCTGTGCCAGACCGCAAGATGCATTTGCCAAAGATTAAATCAAACCATCACGTCTGTCCTTCATCCTTGGCAAACTGAAGCCACCACCAGAGCCAGATAGCTAAATATCTCAGTTTCATGTCCTGAAATCTGAATTGAGCTTGCACCAATGGCACTGCGACTGCCAGCCTGAGGTGGGAGTCCAAGTCCATGCGGTTAGGGCATCAACCCGCTGGCACTGTTAAAAGCAACCTGGCAGCAGAGATTTTGGAATATGAACATTATGCAATTGGAAAGTCTCTTCCTCGATGTCTTCAAGACAACTCTCTAACTTGAGACATGGCCAAGTCCATTTTTACACATCCACTCACCTTGTGCAACTGTCTTAATAGCCTTTGGCTGAGGATAAAATGAACGTTTTCTCCATTCAGAAAACAGCCCCCAAAAAATCTTTGGAAGATATTGCACCAAAACAAATCTTGCAAAAGGGCAACCCAATCTTTTCCCATTTTTAAAAATTTCTTAAGTCTCACCTAATGTTGAGACATAAACAGCAGCTTGGGAGGCTAGAATAGATAACACTGCTAGAAGGAGTAAGTCTGCACTTTGCTTTTCTCTCCTAAGAGAGAAGTTGCAGTGAGATTGCTTTCAGTGAATTTCCTCTGGAAAGGTCAAGATGGAAATACAGCCTGAATTGGGATTTGATTGAGATTAAAAACCAGGCTCAAGACTCAAAGAACTGCTGGCTCTATGTGCAGAAAGCTGCTCCGAGAAACAGTTGTTCATATGGTGAAAACCTATTAAATTAATCCCACGCATCAAAGCTGCCTTGTGACCATGAAACAACAGTAGATGAGGTCTACTCAGTAGCACTGGAATAATAACAGCTTTAATCACAATATTTTTTTCCAAAACCTTTTTTCTTAAAAAAAAAAAAAAAAGATTAAGTACAATAACCAGTTACTGCACAAACTGTAGTAATAATGCAAAGCCCAGACAGAAGTTTTGGAAAGGGCTTGACATTTAATGGGTAAAAGGTGTTTGAAGGATGTACATCCAGTCCCACTACATGAGGAGAGACTGGATTTCTGACTGAGGATGGGGAGAAATTAATGCAGCGGCTATTCCACGGGTCCCAAAATGTGACGGCTGTGCTCCTGTGGCGCTCAGGAAGGATGAGGGAGGATGCATACAGTAGAAGAGCTGAGCATGGTGTATTTTAGGCTGCCACTGAAATGTTAAGCTGGGTGTACAGAGTACCTGAGGTAGTTAGAAAAAACAGGGGAAAACAAAATGCTGAAATTTTTCAGGGATGTCCCTATCTTGTCAGAACCGCAGGAGGCTGAAATTTCTGCCTTGAAGGCTAACAGCTGCTTAGGAGACAAGCAAGGCCCTTGCCCATACCTCTTTCCTCGTTTGCCTCGAGCAACCTGGCTTGGCTTAAGCCCTTGAAGAGCCCTTGCCAAGCCTCAGGGGGCTGTTCTGCAGAGCTCTGGACCAGCACAGCTCTGTTTGCAGGACCAAAGCCTCGTGCAGTACATGCCGTTCAAAGAGCAAAAGCCAGTATTTGGGTAAAGCACATGAGGAAAAACTGCACGGCATGTCCACGAGCTGGTCCATTAGCAGATCTGCCTGTCAGCTTGCGCTCAACCTCTCTGGTTTGCAATGAGGGAATGCAATGGGGATTTTTGCTTGGTGCATGGAAAATATGCTCTTACGGTGGCCTGTATTTTGTTAATAAAAAGCAGATACATGGTGGGCTCAGGTGCCTGACAGACCCTATTTCTGTGCTATGGTAAGTTGCATAGGAAACTCCTTAAAGCCCCTGAGGAGAAATTAAGGTGCTATTCAGTCTTTGTCGGGTCCAGTGAGAGCAACAAATATGTTTTTTGGAAGAGGATATGAGAGCAGACAGGCTGTTCTTTACAAGAGGACCATTCCCTTCAGAGACTGCTCTGGTAGCATGATCTGCCGGTGTACCAAGAGCCCATCAAATGCCCACATACTGCCTGGACCAGGCAGGCTGCATCAAGCTGCCTATATCTTAGGTCACAGAGAGAAGAGGCATAGAACAATGCCAGCCAAACTGTCCCAAGCACAGCTCTGGCTGGGGAGCTGATGTCACCTGCAACTTCCTAAACCTACTTGGAGCTTTGCAGTGGAGACACAAAAGACTAGCGTTTCCATCTCCTGCAACGGGCTGATAAATGCCCATCCTGTCCGGCAGCAAGGCCACAGTAACCTGTTTCTTGTGTGCTCCTATCAGTATAAAGTTCTGGGACTTAAAAGATGCATCTTTCCCAATTTGAGGTTGTTTTCTTTTGGATCAACATGAAAGAAAAGCATCCTTAACAACTAACCTTTCTGCGGTAGCAGCGCTTTGCTATAAAGGAACTTTGCACTTAAAATAAAGTCATCTTTCTGTGCAAAAATATTTTCCTCCCATGTAAAATATTTCAAAGCTAGGGAGCAGGAGGAAGAAGGAGGTCATTCAAAAGAGTTAGCTATAAAAAGAAGAGGAAAAGTATGGGCACTTAGTGCCACATAGTACTATTTAGCTCAATGGCACCAGTTTTATAGCAAAGAATATTTACAAGTTAAATTGCAATTCAGCCAATTGAAAGCCCAATTCGAAGCCCGCTGAAATCAATGGCAATGAGCATTATGTCGCGTAACAGATCTCCAGTGAGCAACAAGTCTCCAGTGAGCTTTGGATTGGATTTCAAGTTAGGTGAGACGTTTTCTCTTTTTCCTTTTTTTTTTTTTTAAACGGTTATGTAGACTGCAACAACACCCTCCGCTTTCCTGGCCACTTCCCCAGAACATGAACTCCAGGGGAGAAGTGTCCAAGCACAGGTAACCGCAATAGCAGGATTAACCATTCCCAGCATCTTTCCAGCCTCTATCACAAGGAGCAGGTCTCTGTTGAACCAAAACTCTCTCCAGCTTCTTCCAGACGTCCCCTGCAGCAACCGGCTGGGATGAAGCATCCCCTCAGCCAAGTGTGAGGGGCAGTGCCAGTTCTCCCAGTTAAAAATGGTACCTGTGCACTTGAAAATAGGCAATGAGCATCTCTCCATCCACAAAAGAGAAAATGCATGTTCGCAAGTACATACAAAAAAACAACCAAAAGGGTCATGGGGCCTGTGACCAAGAAAAAGAGATTCTTTTCGGTGTAAGAGGCTTGCTGGCTTGAAGACATCCCAAGCTGATATGGTGTTTTACAGAGAGTCATGCCTGGCGGTTAGCCAAAGCCCGACAGCAGAGGTGGGGAGAGGGCATTCACTGTGCTTCGTCTTGAATATATATTTACATGATTGATGTTCATCTCAAAAGTGATAATTTAAAAGCAGTTTCTACAACATAAAAAACAGCAACAACTTCCCCCTAAAGTGGTTACAACCTTTACTGCTCATTACAAAATTAGATGTTTATTTGTAATTGCCTAAAAAATGTGTTCTCTCTTTGTGATCCCTCCCTCCCACTCCCCTTCACTGCTTGCCAGCTTTAAACTTTTTAATAGAAATAGTTTAACTAGTATCAATTCCCTATAGCATAGAAAAAACATCTGCTCTGGATGCCTTCCCACCAGGAAGAGAGATGTCTCCTGCTGATTTCCAGTCCTGGTGAGAACTTGCAAACTTTGGCCTCTTAAAACCTGGTGAGAGCATTCTCCACTTATTTTTAAAATCAACTGCAAAAAAGGGGAAAAAACGCAGAAAATAAAGACACCATCAACAAATGAAATTCAGAAGAATGGATCGCTCCAGGAAACCCCACTTAGATGGCAAAATCTTCATGTTCTTGTGGGCTGAAGGCAGCTGCCCGAAGCATGTCCAAGGAGTTGACGAGGATCAGCGTGCCAGTGAGATGCTTCCAGCGCTTGGTAATGGGGTTCTTCATTTTGTCCAGCCCTGTGTGCAACTCCTGAATTACGTCACGGTAGCTGTCCCCGATCTGGCTGCTCCAGGTGAGTAGGAAGTCATACGCTGGTTTCCACATGGCCTGCATCACACAGGAGAGAGGGAAGGAGAAAAGCAGAGCTGAATGCAGAGCTCCGGCTCTCAACAGTTTGCCTTGGTGGCTGCTTTTAACCATGTGTGGGACAGAACAGCCAGCAAGTGAGTAATGCTATCCCCAACATGCAGTGATCTCCGAACAAACATATTCTAGGTGAAAACACTATCTAATGTCCTCAGCATATTAAAATCCCATTTATTCCATAAAGGCACATCAGAAGAACATGCTGTAGACATCTGGAGCACTAGCCACAAGCAAAAACAACCTCAGGAAATGCATGAAGCCCTCCAACACTGAGAACCATCCACTCTCACCTCGCTGTCCACCACCCCCGTTTTATCCCGATGTGGGGCCTCGTAGGCATCCATCTGCTGCTTGGAGACTTTGACTAGCTTCTCAGCAAGCTCCCTCCAGCGCTGGGCCACCTCCACGGCTGTGGTCAGCAGCACGAAGTCCTGAATGAGCCGCACGACCAGCCCCTGACAGTCCATTTTCAGCAAAGCCTGCAGGACCATCATGAAAAACCAAATAGAGAGAGTCAGGGAGGGTGGCAAAAGGCAGGTAACCCAGGGATTACTCAAGGAAGTCTCTCAAGACGTTATTCCCAAATCCTCCCACCTCCTTTCTGGCAACAGCTGGTGAAATTAGGCCAATAGGCTCAACAGAGCTGTAATCCCATTAATTGAATGAAGTACCCTACCCCAGTTCAATGTGGTTTGTAGCCAGGGCTGGTCAGCATAACCTTATTTTCCAGGCAGTTACTCAAGATGTTCAGTCCCCACATAAGCAGTTTAAAGCATCTCAGAGCTGAGAAAAACAGATGCCTTTAATCAAGATAATTAATCCAACGTGGTCAATGCAGCTCGCATCCTCAAGCCTGGAGAACCGTCCCTTCAGTACAGACGGCAAGAGTGCCCAAGGATTTCCCCCGAGCAGCTCTGAGTTAAACATAACATTTTGGGACAAGGGGTGGACAGCTGTCCTGGGAGAAGATGAGCTGGGGTGAGATCCAGATGAATGGCTACTTCAGACCATTATAGGACCTGACCACAGCGGTCACTTTGCTTGAGATGCTCTTATTCCTTTCACTGCCACTGCCCCTTCCCTAGTCAGTTCAGAAACCATCTCCTTAAATCATTTATTGATTTAAGTGCAAATGGCTCTGAAGAGCCGGGGAGGAGAAAATGCTGCCACTAGGGAGACCCACAGCAAGGAACTGTTTTCCATACTGCAGTGACTTTAGCCAGAAAAAAAGGACAGAGTGGAAATCTGCTGAGGATTGCTGTCTTTGGGTAATAAAATCACGTTAATGTCTGCTCGGTTGCGATAGCAGCAACCCACGATATGGCCCAGGAAATGAAAGGTTTAAAGGCAACTGCCAGGCCACAAGACCTGACCAACAGAATCAACATCTAGCTCACTGAGGGCTCTCCAATGTTTGCGAGAGCCAAATGTTTGTAATGCAACAACATAAGGAGCAAACCCTATCCATGGATGAAGTCACCTCTTGAACCTCAAGTGGCTCTTGAAATGTGTTTTAAATTATGAAACAGGCATCCTTTTTTTAAAAAAAACATCAAAACAAAGCGGATAAACCAAAGACTATCCCTTGGGGCAGAGTTTACCACCCAGAAAGGTTTAATCATTCTTCATCTCCCTCTACACTGCCAGCCCTGGGACAGCTTGAGGCGGTGACTTCCACAGGTTAATCGTGTGCTATAAAAAGAAGTTCTTCAACGTATTTTCTATTTACTGCCTTTCTGTTTCATCAAGTACCCTCTGGTTTTTGTCTTGCTAAGCGCTGGAACCACGGAGAGAGCAGAAGTAGGACTGCGGTTCCAGGACGCCAGAACACCAAGGGCGCTACACAGCATTTTAACAGGGGATCGCATTTTAACAAATGCAAACTACAGCTCAGGCACAAAGAGGGCAAAACCCCGAATGACTCTGACTCTCACTAGGGAGACACTACCAACACAATAGTATTATTTCAGTCACTACAACTGCAGACAGAAATTCTCTGCAGTCTGAACATGGCAAGAATCCACCTCCCTTCTCCTGCTCATTCCTCTCTCTCTCATTTCATACGCGCTTCAGTAAGACTGCGTCAGGCGCTGGCATTTAGGCACAGGGATGCACAGCCACCAAGGGGCTGAGACAGGGTTAACGCGCCATTACTCTGCAATGCTTGGCCTTGCCCCTTTGCTGCTGTCCCCACAGCAAAGGCAGAGGCACGAGGCTGTCCCCACACCAGTGCACAGTCCTGCGAACCTCTCCTGATTCACCAGCTCTAGGCAAACCCAGCTGATTTCATTCCAAAGCAGAGCAGGGGTTAAACCCTCCCATGAAGATCGTAACATTAACATCTGAAACCACTCCAGCAATTTGCAAAGCAAATATATGTCAGTTCCCTTATCTGTTTCCAGCTTACACAAAGCAAAGCAGGGCTCGAATCTAATTACAGCTGTGGACTAGCTAGCTTTTCAAGCAAAGTGCTTACACGGGCTTCCTGTATTAGCAAGAGAAGTAATAAACCCTCTTGTTAAGCAAGCAAGGAAAATACATTTGAAGAGCATAATTTTTTTTATGGGCATTAAAAAAGCATTTAGATCTCACATCTGTGTCATACTCATACCCGCCTCTGCTGAGTACTCCACGTACAGCTCTCCAGCAATACTACCTTATCGAGCAGCCAACAGAGTCACTGCCCTCTAATCTTGAGCAGGGGGCTCAGATGGCCCTAAAGAGGCAGGGAGTTAGAATTACACTCTGGGGTCCTCGCTCTGAAACTGCCCGTCAGTACAAACCACCGTAAATCATATAAACGACGCAGTGGTACCATGTCCTCCACATGCTCCTCTGGTGCACACCTGCTGGTGTTTGCTCCAGCTGCTCAGCTGCAGTTTTGTGGGCCATCAGGTAGTCCTGGTCTGAGAAGGACACAATTTGCTTCTCAGGGCTGAAAACAGTTGGGAGGAACATACGTCCCTTCGCTAGGAAAAGAGGCAAAAAGGCGTAATGGTGGGGAGAAAGAGGAGGGAGAAGAGAAAACCCGTCTTCCTGGGAAACGTAGGCTAAACCACGGCGTCCAAGCAACTTGGGCCCTGGCGTGGTGGAGAGAGGCTTGCTCAGCCTGATGCACGTTCAGGAACCGGCTGAGATAGATAGGGGACGAGACGTCTCCCTTTGCACGCCATCGTGACAAAATCCCCCCTCTTAAGAGGTCTCAGTGAGGGAGCTTGTTACCTCTTTGGTGGAGACGGTGGCAGAAGAAGCACCGAGGAACTGATACAAGGGGTGAGAAAGGTGACCCGCAGCACGGCGAAACTCAGCTGGTTTACGGCAAACGGCAGCTCTGCCCCATCGCGGCTGACTCACTACCCGTACCCACACACAAGCGTTTGGCCATGTTTTGCAGACAGGTTAATCACCGGCACACAAGCATCGAAACAATCTGCTATTTAGCAAACAGTAGGGTAAGCAAACGCTGCAAGCAAGCCGCTCTTATCTCTTCCCGGAGTCAAAGTAGGTAGGAGGCAGCAACTGATTGCTCCCTGCAGTCATTTGAACAGACCGCTAATCAAATACGGTGCCAAACAACAGGCAGACGCTGAGCAGAGGAGTGCAACATGATGATGTGGAAAAGCACCCGGCAACAAGTTCACACAAGTTCTCGATAAAGCCCCGCTTGCAGCTGCCCGGAAAGGCTCCTTGGTACATCACTTGGCGGCGGACAGTCAAAATAATACAGTTTTTTGAAATGCAGGGAAGCAGAGAGAGAGGGAGGGGGGGAGAGAGAGAGAGAGAGAGAGAGAGAGAGAGAGAGAGAGAGACGCACATATTACAAAATGGTAACCAATGCATTAATAAACACGTTTGCCTAAACTGCTGTGGAGTTTCCTCCCTGGATGAGAGCGGGAACGATAGGTGTGAAGAGTCTTTTAAAAAGATGGCTTTCTTCTTGCTGACCACTAGGAACAAGCTGTAACTAATGGGTTAAAAGGGTGGGTGCCCATGGGGTTGGTGCTGCAGAAGGCAGGTGCTCTGGCTCTTTCCGCTGCTCGCAGTACACAAGAAAACGCCGCCAAGTAAAGCAACTGTGAGCCATGTCACTGAGCGCTGTAGAGTGACCCAAAGCAACAGGTTTCAGAGGGACAAATTGTTCCCTTCAGCTCAGCAGGTTAACTCTGAAACCTACAGGCAGCAATAGAAACACCTTCTTTGTTCACCTCACCTCTGGTTACCTCACCTGGGAAGGCGCAACATGCAAATTATCTGCCAGTGTCTGTGCCGGGGGTAAAACACTGCCAGAACAGTGCGATGAGGGGGCTGCAAAGAGAAGGAAGGAAGAGCCACGGCGTTTGCAGAGAGCGGGGCGGCAGAGATACAGTGGAGCTCGCCGGTCCGGCACGTGGGCCTCCCTGCTGCGTTTCTGGACTCTGCTCTCACCTCCATCACGGCCCAGAGCGACGCAAGACCCCGATGCTCCTGATTTTCGGCAATTTCGCCCCCACTCTGCTCAGTACGGAGCTCACAGACAAGCCGCACAGGATCAGGCCCGTGCTCACCCTGCAGCAGAGGTGCCGGGAGCTCCCTCGCTTTGCTGGCCCCACTGCGGGAAGCTTTTCCGAACCCCAGGAACTGGGGGACTGGGCGCGTTGTGAGCACTGAAAGAGCCAGGGAAAACGAGGGAGAGCGGATAGCGGAGAGGAGCGACGGGAGACGCGGCACAGCACTCTGTGCAGGGACAGGGCGAAGACAGCCGAACGGGACTGGAAGCCCTTCAGGAGAGCCTGGGCCCATGGCCACAGGGGGATGGGGCCTCTGCGTGGACGTCCAAGCCAAAGTGGGGTACTAGTGGTAACGGTGAAATATTTTCCATCCCTACACAAAGGATCCTCCACAAAAGCCCACAGTGCAGCAGGGTCTTTTAGGGACAGCAAGGAGCAGCTTCAGTCATTGAATGCAAACGTGCCACCTGATCCCTGCCCCGTGCACAATTCATTCCTTTTGCCACAGAAATACATAAATTACAAGCAGGCTCGGGTCTCTTCTGAAAGCCATGACTAGCCCAGCCGGGATTAGCAGGTTTCACAATGGATTTAATCCTCCAGCAGGCGCTTTCGGGATTACACTACATTTTTTTTCCATCCTCCTCCCTCACCCTACACAAACCTCCCAGGATAGCTGGATACACACACCTGGCTTGTACAAGCACTCTCTTCCAGTTTCCCTCGGTATCCAACTATGTTTACTCCTAAGGCTTAACCAGCGCTGTGCTATTATTGCCATAGCTTTAAAGCTGTGCATTGTCAACGCTCTCTGAAACGCTCATTAGCCCCAGAGAGCCTCTGAGCCTGCTCCACCAGATGAGTGGGCAACGTAGCAAAGAAGATGGTTTGATATTCAAATCCCATTTCAAAGCGGGCGCAGAAGAACCTATACTTAAAATGCATCCGGGGAGGCAGAATTTGCATTTCAGCTCTGAAACGCAGACTCTCAT